TCTTTATAATGAATTTTTAAACAATTTTTTTCAATTTTTACTAATTAGCCTGAAGGCTTCGTTATATCCAGGTTTGATTGTATATAATTTTTAATATATTTATATAAAAAAATAAATTTGTCAAAAAGATTTAATAGTGATAATCTTTGATTATTTAATATAATATACAGTTTTTAAAAAATTTAATTATATTGAATATTTCGATTTTAAATAGAAAGAAAAGTTTTTAAATTTGTTATTAATTAGTAATAGATTTTTAAATCAAAAAGAATTAGACTAGTAGTTATATATTCTTTGTATATATATAATTTTTTCTAAAAAATTTTATTACAATTATTAAATATATACTGTATTTATATTTGATTTTTTTAATAATTAAATAAGAAAAAAAACAATATAAATTTATTAATTTAAATTGTTAATTTAATTAAGTATTTATAATTAGTAATTTTAAATAGAATAAATATAAGTATTTGTTAATATATTTTTTTGGCTATATGTACAATAAACATATTTACCATTTTTTAAAATAATAAAATTATAGATAAGATAGGTTCAAATAATATATAATACTTGAAGTAATTTGAATTTTTTTGTAGAAAAAGGTAAATTTTGTTATTGAAAAGCTTAAAAATTAATATTTTATTCTGTAGTTTAATTATATTTAGGTTTGCTTATACATATAAAATTTTATCTGAAATAGTTTTCTTTATGTCTAGCTTGATCTTGATGACTTGTTAAGTTTTATACGATTTTTATATTGTTTTTGTTAAGTACAGTTACATGAATAACATAGTCAAGTTGTGTTGATATGAAACTTTTTTAATTATAAGATTATTTCACCTTTTTTGATTGATTATAGCTGTTGGAAAGTTTGAAAGTTTATTTTTTAAATGTATTTTGATTGCAATAAATGAGGATTTATCAAAAATATAGATGCTGGGATATTTAATGAAACTATTATAGTTTTTTTGAATAAATTAGTAAGTCTTTTACTATTAGAACTTGGTTTCTTGATTTGTTTTGGACTTGAAGTTTGTAACTAGACCTATTTTATTTTTGTTGTCTGTGATTGAGTTTAAAGATAAAAGTGAAAAGAAAATATTAGTAGCTGTTCGAAGTATTCTTATATTGCAACTACTGTAGTTATGACCACATCATCTGTAAATACAAGTATAGTTTATTTGCTGATAGTATTTGGATAACAGAACAGATTATGAAATCATAAATAATAATCCAGAGAAGGGGTGCAAGAGTTTCATCTTGGTCGATTCCATTGCTGATTTTGAGGGAATTTGTGAGTTTATAGCAAGTAATAATTCTTAATCCTTTTTTTTGAAGTAGGTTGAAGACAAGTTGAATTATCTGATTTGGAATTATAATTTCTTGAAAACAAGTTCTAGACTGAAGAGATTTATTGAGTTAAAGGCTTTCAAAATGTTAAAGGAGGTCATCTTTATTTCATTGTTAAAATTGTTTGCCGTACACCAATACCCAATCTATTATTATCGTTACGCGAACCTATACCAATTCTTAGCGACAGGATCGCCGATCATCATTACAATCTCGTCATCAAGAAAAGACATATTCTAATATTTTCTTTCTTTTATCAAATAGTTGTTAAGAAAAATATAACGTAGTTTCGGAGGAAACCCATAAAAGTACTTTAATATTGCAGTCGTGTCATAATATTAAGCACGCATATTCCTGTTAATGGAGAATAATTAATAAGTTATCTTTCTTTAATAAAAAAAATATATTGTTAATTAAAGTTAACGCATAAAATTCATCGAGACAGAAGTTATAGATTTCTTTTACGCAAATATATTTAATTTAAAATCTTGCAAGTTGTAATTTGTTTTATGGTTGACAACTTAGATGCTGTATTTTCTAAATGTCTATAGTACTATAAGTTCCGGAGTGTAGTATGTAGAATAATAATTTATATTGTCTTGACAACATTAAATTTCATTTGAATACGAAGTTTATAACATATATGAAACTACAATTATCGTGCTAAGCCAAGTTTTATTCGAATTAATTTTCGAACTAAAATTTTTACAACAATTTAATTAAATTAATTACGTTATTTAAAAGAAAATAAAGTTAAAAGGCTTCTTTTACTAATAATGGCATTCAAAACTGAATACAGATTCGCCATAGATCTTTATAATTAAGTTATTCTTCAAGAGTCTCTGGATGAGCTGGCTTGGGTTTTTCTAAGGCAATTGGATATTTTTCGCAAAAAGTGCGCAACAATTGCAGTTTAGAGGACAAGGTAGATTTGTCATACATGTTGCAGAATTCCCACTAGTGGTTTTGCATTGAGAGCAAATGTCTGGAATTGAACATCCAGTGCACACATAGCAGACATTTTTAATGCATGTACCTGCAGCTCTGTAAACAGCAGTAATTTGACCAGAACTACATATCAAACTGTCGTCGGCACAATCTGAGTCATGCACGCAATCGACGCATACACCGTTTACGCAAGTTTTACCGTTTTCACACTGCAAATTATTAAGAAAAAATTATTTTAGAAAAAGGATAATTTATAGAATATGGAAAAAAAAGCAAATACACGGTGAACGGTAGAAAAAATTAATAATACATACGCATTTTTTGCCACATGTTCTATCATCAGGACAGCATGCACCATCTATACATTGATTAGCACTTTTGCACTTTAAATATGAAATTACTCGGAATTAGTATCACTTGTTCATATTCTAAGTAATAGAAAACCAATAAACACGTACGCAGGATGTTCCACATGAAAGTCCGCGAGGGCAGCATAATTTACCGCCTAAACACTCCTGACCAACAGGACACTGTAAATGTGGTTATTTGAATAGTTAGAAATGATTGCTAATAATATCGAGAGGATATGAATACGTACGCAAGAATCACTGCCACATTGTATTTTACCATTGGTACAATCAATAGCAATTACTTCATGCGACAAGACTATATGAAAGTAAGAAAAATTAGACTATAAATACAAAGATACATAAATAAATAACCCGGAAAGAACTTTACCGCAAAGAACGAACAGAAGAACGATGAAAAGGTTAATCGATTTAACATGCATTTGAAATGTGAAGAGAGATGAGAAATAGGAAAATATATGCACTCTATATAATATTTTCATGTTATATACATTGGATTAACGAACAGTCTCTGTATATTATTCAATATATTGAATTTAAAATTTAAAATAATATGCGGTAATATAAACGCATAAAACTGTAACTTGAATATCAATAAACTTCTTCCCGTACCACTGTAATCTTCCACAATCATATTTGTTATAGCAGAGATTTTTCACCCGAAATAAAAGACATGGGGGGTGTTCCCCTTATCTGCGTCACCTGTGCAGGCAAACATGTAGCTTTATTGCTGAAAATCGCGAATCGCCGTGAACTTTATTAATGTTTCACGGAACCAACATTACTTCAACATAATATAAGTTATAATAATATACATGGATAGCTAATGTTAATTAATAAAAATTTATAAATTTATAAATTAATATTAAAAATAAAATAGTTTTATTAATAAAAAAGACTTTTTAAAAAATCGTATTATTATTTAAATATTAATTTTATTTTATTAAAAAAAAAAATATGTTTTTATAAGGTTAAGTTATTATTTAAAAGAATTTTATAAAAATAAGTATAAATATTAATTATTTTAATTGGATTTGTAAGATATGAATTTCTTTTTCTTTTGTTAAACAAATAATGTGATTTTTCATTATTATCTAAAAAATCAATAGAAAGTTATCTAAAATTAGATAATATTAAACTTTTCTTTGTTGATAAAATAAAATTATTAATAGTTTCATTATTAACATTATTTTTATTTAGATTAATATCATTAAATATTTTATTATTATTTATCTCTTTAATATTATTTTTTTTTTTTTTTTTTTTTTTTTTTTTTGTAGGTAAACATCATTTCTTTATTTGATTTGTATATGTCAAGGTAT